ACTTGGCCTAACAGGTCCACCAACAGAAGATCATTTTATTTGATTTAATTTATTTAGTTTTAATTATAATTGATATTTTGAATCGATTAAATTAATTAAATTAATTAATTTTTAATTTTTAAAATTGATAACTAAATTGATCAAATTAATTAATTTTTTAATAATATTAAAAAATTGATATGAATATTTTTATTTATCTTTTTCTTGTATATTGTCATTGAAATTATTAAATTTTTTAATGATTTAGTTTAAATTATATTTGAATTTGTAAATAAATAATTATTTATAATAATAATAATAAATTAATTATTCAATCGAACTAATCAAATCGAATTAATTTTGATTAATTTGATTATAAATTATTATTTCAAAATTTTTTATTAATTTAATTATTTATTAAATAAAAATTAATTAATTTAATTATTAATTTTTTAAAATAAAAAACGATGAAATTGATCTATCGTTCACACTTACAAATTAACCCATGCATTCATACAGATTTAGGCCCTATCTACCCCAAGCCCTTGTTAAAAAAATTTCATTTTATCTTCCGAAATCAGGCTCTGCCAATTGCCGCCGAACAATCATGCAGACAAGTTCATTAAAAAATGAGTTGAAATGACGAGTTTAGACATTGAAATCAGCAGTAAAATATTTTCGCAGTAGCTTTCAAAACAATATCCAATGGCTGGCCTACAATAATAAAGTCTGACTTAAATGGTTGAAAAAAAAAAAGACATGTCACATTCCCATGGATTTTTGTTTTTCTTTTTATTATTACATCATTAAAAGAACTGAATCCACGGCAACGAGACTTGCTCAAGATTTAATAGGCCCAACAGCCTTAAACATCTCTGCCTGGCTGGCCTAATAGGACTGATGGTACCAAAAGAATCCTTAGTCTTCTTAGTACCTGTTTGGATTGGATTACATGTGATTAAATTTAATATTAGATGAATTTAAATATTAAATTTAATAAAATTTATTTAATATAAAATTTTTAATTATTATTATAATAATTTTTTAATCATAATTATAATAATAATTATTATTATTTTTAATCTCACATAATCAATTTTATCATTCATTTAAATTAATTTTTAGATGAGTTTTAATTTGAATTAAAATTTATATTAGATAATTATTAGTTTATAAATTTAATTTATTATCAATTAATCAAATGATATTATTTTATTAATAAATAAACATTAATTTTTAAAATAAATATAAAAAATTAATTTTTAAAAAAATTTTATTTATTAATAAAATAATTTATTTTATTTTATTTTATTAATGAGATGATATTATTTTATTAAATGATAATATATAAATTTTATTTATTAATAATTCATTAAATATAAAAAAATTTTAATAATACCCATATTGTTTTTTCTTAAACAAAATCTGCTGAAATATTTTTGGCATTATTTGGATATTTCTCGTCTTTATGATAATAGTTTAGTTGATAAAATTAAAAAAATAATAATAATAACTAGATTAATATCCTTCCCCTCCTACTCCCAAAAAATATCACATCAACGCGCGTGCCACCATCATCAGAACTTCTTTGATTTAATAATTCAAAATATAATAAAATTATAATACAATTACGATTTAAAACTAAATATAAAAATAATATAATTTAAAATTTTAATAATAATTTTATATAAATTTAATAAATTTAAAAATATTTTATATTTTTATATCAATACAAAATTTAATATTTAATTTTTTATAAATATATAAAATTTAATATTTTACACATTACTCCCGATGATTGGTACATAGTTTGGTACCAAGCCATGGCGCGTGGGGTATAAGAGACAGGTAGTGCAAGAAGTTCCATGTCGCGCTGTGTACCCGGCAATCCAAAGTTAAAACCCCTTTCCTGTCCCCCAACACGTCATATCGCTTCACTCTGTTTTTCTTTGTCCCCTCTCAAACCTACTTAATGCTCTCCCTACGTAACTTACACTCTATTTTTCTCTCTCTCTCTCTCCCAACCCGATATTTTTCTTTTGATTTCATTTTTTATTTTTAGTTAATTTTCCTCCTTTCTTTAACAAAACTAGAAATACAGCCACACGTCGTCGCGAGTTGAATTTTAGTATTTATAATAAATAGTATTTACGATAAATTTAATAAGCTATTGAATATAATGTTGTCCATAATTTTTAATAAAAATAATAATTAGTAATAATTTATTAATTAATTTATATAATAATATATTCATTTTGTTTTACATCTTATTTAATAAAATAATCTAAATTAATTGTCTAAAATTTATATTTTAAATAATAATTTTATTAATATAATATATAAATATAAAATTAAATAAATAATTAAATATACATTTAAAGATAAAATACTTTAACTTCGCTTCCAATCAAACTTCATTTCTCTTTAAAAAAATTAACTTCTCCTAATCCGATTACGATCTAAACATTTATTTTTATCAATTTTGAACATTTCAAAATCCATTAGATACAATATAATTTTTTTCATCTTTATTCATCAACTTTTTTATTACAAAATTGATTTAATTAAAAATATAAAATAAATAAATAAATAAGATGTTACGTGAATATATTAATTGATATTTTTTTACAAAACTTATTATATAAATTTAAAAAAATAAAAAGAATAAAAAATAAATTTATGTGTTATGTGGACATTTTTATCAATATTTTTTATAACATTATATAATTTAAAAATATATATATTTTAATCAATAATGTTAAAGGAGTCTCATACCATTTTTAAAAAATGAGATAATTAATTAAATATGTAAAGATTAAACATGAGAAATTATAATGAAAATAAAAATGAAAAAAAAACTAAAAAAAAAAGTAATCATACGGCAAACCTTATGAAAAGTCATAATAATGGCAAAGTTACCAAAAATTTATGTTTTGAATCTCTCTTTTACCTTATAATTTTTTTAAAATTCATTTGAATTGATGATAAAATTGATTTTATTGAGATTAAAAATAATAATAATTATTATTATAATTATTATTAAAAATAAAATTATTATAATTATGATTGAATTAAAATTTTAATAAAAAATTTATATTAAATAAAATTTATTAAAATTAACATTTAAATTCAATTAAGATATTACAAATTTTGTTAGATAATACTTTTATGTTCAAATCTAGCCTTAGACTAATAGGAAATCAATCAAATCATAATGACATATACTTTCAATAATTACACTACTAAATATCTTTTGTTTTTTTGTATTGTTGTATTTCTTATAGTCATAATTTTAAATTATGAACCGACGTTAGGACATAATGAAAGGCATATGGCATTGACAAAGAGACTCTTATGCTGCATTTAGACTGAAACGGGGTTGAGTTTACCATGGAAACCTGTGCCAACTGCATTGTACAGTGCAAAAAATTCATTTGGCTTTCCTGAATGGTGAGATAGGAATGCATGTTCACTGTGTTGCAACTCTAAAATCCAAACGGTGCTTCAAGGTTCAGTGAAAAAAACTCACCAAGTAAACCCTATCTTTCCAAATAAGCCTCTGTTGTCTTTTTTTTTTTTTTTCCATAGATTTTAATGTAGCGATGAAAATGTATTTACTTATTTTTGTCTATTTTTAAAATTTTTTTATTTTAAAGTTTTTTTTCATTTCTTTATTTTATTTATTTTTAAATTCTATTTTGAATAAAAATAATTAATATTTTAATATAAAAATAATTATTATCAATTTTTAAAAAATATTTTAAAATTTATTATAAATTATTATAAATTTTTAAATATTTATTAATAAAATTATTATTTGAAATAAAACTAATTTTAGTAAATTTTAATTATTTATTAATTTTATAAATGTAAATTAATTTAATTTTTAATTTTATATAAATTTTAATATAATATATTCAATAATTATTTTTTATTTTAACTATTTTTTTATCTCATTACTATCATTACGATTACATCAAAACATATATTTCATCATTAATTTTAATTTAATCGTTACAGTATTTAATCTCATTATTATAATAATTAATTTTATCATTTTCACTATTTTTAATTTTATCAAAATTAAGTTTACCACCTTAATAAATAGTAAGCGAAAAAGTTAGATCACTTAAAAGATATATTTGACAAAGTAAAGTTTTATTTTTTTGAAAAAAAAAGGGAAAGGTTTTTTTCTGCATGTTACATGTTTATTTGTAAAGTTCTAAACTCTCTAGTATCATCCACCAATCATTAAAAGTTTGTTTAGTTTATAAGTATTTTTTTTTTTTTTAGTTTTTATAAATTAAAAAAATAAGTCACCTACAAAACAATAACTTTTTAAAAAATTATTATTATTAGAAATTATTATTATTTTGCATACATAGTTTGTAGAGTTTTTAAATCTTATTAACTAAATTAAAATATTATTAAGTATTTTTATTATATTAATAAAATTTTAAATATATTCTAATGAAATATGTGATTATTTTCTAATTTCATTGAAGTCATCCATCAATCATTAAAATTCATGGATTGTTCTTAAGTGATATATAACAAAAAGAATTGTATAAATGTCATTCTCAAAAATAAAATAATTTTATAAATGTTTATTTATTTTTTATTGGATATAATTATTTCTTTATGAGTTGTTGCTAAAATCTTTTAACGGCTACAGGTCAGTATAATAGCGACCAAATGGAAGGTCAAATCGGTTATCAATGATCAATCACTGAAAAACGGCCCGGGTGGAACCAATCCATCATAATCCATAGCCATTGATCTCGAACTGTTCGGTGGACGATAAAAAACAAAAAAAAAAAAAGAATACATGAATAAAATTTGAGCGAAAAGCAGGGCAGAAAGAAGAAACAAAGAAAGAAAGAGTCTTTTATTTTTTTTTTTATAGACAAAAAGTAATTTTGTTTTGTAATTTTAAAAGTTATTTATTTTAATGCAGAGAGTTTCACGTCGGACAGCGAATAAGCTTTTGTTACTTTGTGAAAAATGGAGGGTCCTTAGCTTCCTCTCTCTCTCAAAAAAAAAAAAAAAAGGGAAAAAGGAAAATACTTTCTTGCTTGCTTCTAAGTAAACAATCAAAACCAAAAACAAAATTAAAAAGATTTTGATTTTGATTATTTTCTTCAGTTTCTGATCCACTAATCCAATCAGGTAAATTGTTTTTTTGTTTTCCACCTCATTTCTTCTTTTTTTGGTCTTCTGTTTCTAAGATAAAATTTTGTTTCAGCCTTTTTTTTTTTAATTTCTATTTTTGTTGTTATCTTGGCTCTTGCTGTCTTGTTAGCTTGTGTTTGTTTCCTGAGAAAACTGAGGAAAAATAGAAGGAATATAAGATAAAAATACAGTAAGCTCGCTTCAGTTAGTTCTCCGTACAGTCAAAGACTGTAGCCTAGCTCATCTGTTCACTCTTGGTCTTAGTTAAACGGAATAAACTTAAGACTTTATTCTGTTTAATTTGGTTGGAGATATTTTGTAATTAATCATAAGTTCCACTGTGTTAATAAAGTTTGTGAACAGAGGGTAGCGAGCTGTTGCCGTATATATACTGGTTTTGCTTCTTTAATTCTTCAAAAAATAAATTTGGTTATCTTTAAATTTAACAGGCTTTAAAGTACTGAGGTTGTGTGGTTCTTTTGATTTCTGATGTCTCCGCTGCTGCTTGGCGTGGAGGAGGAAGGGGATCAGAGCAATGTAACTTTACTGGGTTCTTCAGGCTCCATGGATAGTGCGTGTCAGAATAGTGCTGAATTGAAGGAGCGCAATTACATGGGATTGTCTGATTGTTCTTCCGTGGATAGCTCTGTTGTCTCCCGTGTGTCTGAGGAAAGCAATGCTAGTTTGAATCTGAAGGCAACAGAGCTTAGGCTTGGGCTTCCTGGATCCCGGTCGCCTGCAAGAAATCCGGAGCTTTGCTTGATAAGCTCTGCTCAACTCGATGAGAAACCCCTTTTCCCTTTACATCCTTCAAGTGATGGTCACTGCCCCGCATCACAGAAGACAACTTCAGGCAACAAAAGAGGGTTCACTGATGCAATGGATGGATTCTCAGAGGTAGGAACCACTGCTACTAATGAATCGCAAGGCTAATATTAATAGTCTAACATGCAAAGGTACCTAATCAATGTTGCAGGGTAAATTTCTTTCTAATTCGAAAGTAGATGGGATGCTGTCACCCAGACCTTCTTCCAACTTGGGACTGACATCAGGTTCTGTGCTTGAGAGCCTTGGGGCTCATCCAACAAAAGCTAAAGAGATCACGCACCAGAAGGTGGTACAGGACAGACCTCATGCTGCCAACGATACCAGGCCTAATCCTAATGCGTCTGCAAACAATAACAGTGGGGCACCTGCTACAAAGTATGTCTGGGTTTTTGTAATAACTTTGGGGTTAACCATGAGAAGATTCTAAGATCCTCTTCCTTTTGCAGGGCACAGGTTGTAGGTTGGCCTCCTATTAGATCATTTAGGAAGAATTCCTTGGTCACCACTTCGAAGAACGCTGATAAAGTAGATGGAAAGGCAGGGCCTGGTGCTCTGTTTATTAAGGTCAGCATGGATGGTGCTCCTTATTTGAGGAAAGTAGACTTGAAAAACTACTCTAAATATCAGGAGCTATCTTCTGCGCTTGAGAAGATGTTCAGCTGTTTTACCATAGGTGAGCTATTTCAATCTTTCAATTAAATATAAAGATTTTTGGATGTGGACTGTATATTTATGTAATTTATGTGCAGCTGTTATTCATATGAAGACAGTAATATTTGTTTGCATGGATCCAGTTACTGCTATTGACTATGATTTCAGGTCAATATGGATCTCATGGAACCCTGGGCAGGGAGCTGCTGAGCGAAAGCAAGCTGAAGGATCTGCTGCATGGATCAGAATATGTTCTTACGTATGAGGATAAAGATGGTGACTGGATGCTTGTGGGTGATGTCCCATGGGAGTAAGCTCTAATCCCCTTTTTTATATCTTTGCTTCTCATTTTGTGCTCCCTGCCAATATGATAATTATGACACTATCCATACTTTAGCAATTTTGAGTCATCGTTACAAGATTGTACGTTTTAACTTATTGGCAACATGTCAGCCATTTTACTTCTGATTAAGTGAAAACATGCTTACAGGGTATGGTATGCAAAATGTACTCATAGGAGTGGAGTAATCCAAAGCAAGTTACAAAACAAAAATCGTTCCTGCCATATTATTTTAGCAATCTGTTGTTAAGCTTTCCATTTTGTTTTGAGCTGTTAAAGAAATGCTAAGAACATGTTTGAATCAGTAACGGATACGAATAAGTACAATGTGGAAATTATCCTGAATATCGTATCTACAATATTTTTGTGGGAGACCTTGAAAAAGGGAAAGGAACCCTTGTTCATTAGCACTAGAGAAAATTGTGTAATAACGATGATGCATGCATGCAATCATTCGTTTGACCACTAATTTGTCTGTTCTTTTCCCACTTTATTTAGCTGACCAGCAGTCAGAAAAGGAGCGGTAAAACAGCTGCATTGGCCAGAACATTTATGCTATGAAAATTAAAATGCATGTTCCTTGACCTGCGATAATTTTCCCAATAGATTCCAATTTTAGTTATAATGGTTCATTACCTCGCATTTTAGTACTCTAGCCACATAACTTCAAAGTTCAGTAAGTTACTCTTTGTCTGCATCAACCTGAGTCAGAATATGGCGGTGCATTATGTAGTTTAGCTTATTAGTATTTATTGCTCAATTTTCTACTCAAACAGTGGCTGGTCACTGCAGCCTAATTCAAATTTCGTACTTGTTTCAGGATGTTTATTGATACCTGCAAAAGGCTGAGGATCATGAAAAGCTCTGATGCCATTGGACTGGGTAAATATTTTTCTTTTTGTGTTTGTTATCCATCAACTGAGTGTCATGGCATGAGCAAGTATGTGAACCTGTTTCAATACTTTACTTCGTCTTCTGACTAAATGCCTAATATACATGTAGATGGTGTAGAGGATTCTCCTACGTATGTTATTATGTTGACAAAAGCCTTTTTATGTGCCTCAATATACTAATTGGCCATCTTAAGTCTTCTGAGCCAACACATAAAATTTTTGCATTGTTTTATGACATCTAAAATATGGAGCAGTTTTCAAACTTTGAAGATTTTAAGAAACTAAAACGATGTGCGAGTATGCTGCCATCATAATTTTGTGTTGCCCCTTCTGTCTGCAATAATGCATCATCACTGCTGTTGAACTTATGTCATGCTGATTCTTTGTTACTTAGACAGTGGGTTGCATACCTAAACAATGTGATTATAAGCATTGCAGATCTCGCACATATTTCCTTTTCAGGATCACTTAATACCAATACTTTGCCTTTGGTAAAAATTAAAAAAAAAAAAAAAGAAAGTATATCAGAATTACTGCTTTACCAAGTTGACTCAGGTTCTTTCAATTCTGAAAATGGGCCACCATTTGTCCAAACAAAGCAAAAGCTGTGTTCAATCATCTTACTATGAGGCCCAAGACGAGCTTTATTCTGTCTAGAGCATATGAAGATACTCTGGTTCTACAGTACTTGTTCATGTTAATTATTGTCCATACCCTTAAGTTTGTTTATAACCCATTGACTTATCTTTTCATGGAGCTCTTGTTTTTGTGCAGCCCCAAGGGCCGTGGAAAAATGCAGGAATCGGAACTAGCTAGCGTCATACATGATTTTTGCTATCCATGCAGCAGCCTTTCTGGAGAAGATGTAGAAGCAATTTCAAGATTCTTTCTGAAAGAGATGAGAGGTTGTTGGAGTGGGTAGGAGATCATGGGTATCTGCTTTCGTATGTTGCTTATGTTTATCTTCTCTTCGCGACGGCATTTATATCATGTAAGCCTGCTTTTGGTCTACTAAAGTTGTAAAAACCATCAAGGCCCTGCGTTTGTAATTTAAGATTCAGTAAGTTCAGAGTCTGGACAAGCCCCTTTTCCCAAAACAGGATCTTTAGTTTGTAAAGTGCTTTGTTGAACTTTCATGGTGTGTGTGTCTGAATGATGAAAAACCTAAATATTATCTGCAAACCTGACATGATTGGAGTAACAGTGTGCTGCTGCTTGTGTTTTTTATTCTGCTTAACCATTATTTTGCGAGCATTCTAGTCACATTAACATATTTTCTGGGTATGCTGCGCTGTCCGCGCTAAAATTTAACCCATGGAAAGAGGACGCAGAAATGGACTATTGAATTCTGTTTAAGTTTGATTATGTATCGGGTTTCAATGCTTATATAAACTATTGAGATAAAGCCTGCCCTTGAGATATGCTTGTCGGAGAGTAGCCCTATGAAGCACGTGAGAGACTGCATTATTGTTGTGCTGTGGTCAGAATAAATAATGTAAATTGGAGAGTGGCCACGAGGGAAGGTGAAGGCTGGTTTTGCTTTGGATGGTAGGGGCACAAATTGTTAGCCATTGAGGGCATTGACCCTAATGTCCTTTCCTGTGATCAGATTGTCCTTTTACAGAGCCTCACCTTGTGGACGTGGATGATAAGATTTTGCGACCAGGGCATCTGGAAATAGTTGTAGGAAAAGGGCCCCTCAAGTAAGGTCATATCCATTAATTGAGGTGTCGCATTGAGCAAGAGATTCTCCAAAATAAATTTATTTTTATCTTTTTATAACAGGCGAGTGGGGGCCTGCCTGAACTGAAACGAAGTATTTGAAAGAGATGGGAAATGATCAAAGATTTGATAAGATCAGCCTTGTCCTCGTCTAATCTATAGCAAAAATGAAATTTGCCTGCTTTGTAACTTCCTGCGGTGGTCCTGAGGGTTCGTGAAAGTGACAATGTTTAGTTTCTTGGACTATGGTTCCTGTCTCTCTCAAAGTATTCACCCATCAATTACTATCACACGGGTAAAATGTTGCTCGTCGGTTAATTGATGCAAAGGGAAATGGAAGGAAAAACCTAGAATCAAATATCCTAATTCAAAACCAATAAATAGGAAAGGGTACTGTTATATTTTTGGCCTGTTTCTCCCAAATAAGTCAGATTTGGTTTTGGAAGAAAATATTTTTCAAGTTGCTGTTGTTGTATCTAGGATTGGCATTGTTCATTCATTTGGACAAAAAATGTAATTAGGTAAAGATCCAATCCAAACTTTTTTATCGGGCCAGCTAAGTTGGAGAAGAAAGCTGCTATGGTAGTGGACATTGTTAATTCTCAAAGATTTTACCCAAACTGCCTGCCAGAGCCTTATGATCAGCTTCGAAGTTGCATTCCCCCGTAAGATCAGAAATTGTCTTCCTCTACATTATTTGCATAGGAGAATGAGAAACTGATTTTAGAACTTTTAGGACTTAAACCTTGCAAATGTAAACTTCCTATACTTCTTTAAGTAATTTTGCTGGCTACTGCATTTTGGAGCAAACAGAATTCTGGCCCAGAAGAATATCTTGGAAATCATTTCATTACAGTAGACTGGTTAATTATATGGTATTCGAGAGAGAACTTGCTTCCTCTTAAGTTTTCATGCCAAGTTCTTCGTTTGTTCCTGACATATTTGGAAGATTCAGCAAATATTTGTTACAGCTGGGTAGATATAATTTTAGATACAGTCTAAAATTTTAATTAAAATTGTATTTAGATTTGGTAAAAATCAGAAAATATATTTTGTATTTGATGTTTTAATACGAATTGTCATGTAACAATTTTCGTGTTTTATATATGTTAAATACAAAATAAACAAATTCAAATATACGAATTACTAAATTTATTTGGACCACCCATCAAAGATAATTATGTACCATTTTCTTGTTTTTTGTTAGATGTCTAACTGCTGACATATTTGCAAAAGAAAGAAAACATGCTTTTGGCTGGATTATGTTATCTTTTTCTTTGTTTCTTTGGATCATCTCTCGCATAAAAATTTCGATCTGCAGTAGGGGCAATTGCAGTTGCAGACTTCCATCTTTAGTCAAACTCCTCACTCATTGCAGGACTTGAGTGTTTGTAAACCCTTTGATCAAAATAGTGGGATGACAGCCAAGAGCAATGATACTGCAATTTTGTCTTACACAAAAACAAGTATGTCAACCTTAAAACAAATTGTCTCTGGACCTAACTACCATACAAAGGATAATGCTAAGATTTCTACATCATTTGAACATTGTAATCTTCTTTCCCATTTCTTAGATTATCAGCTTTCATCTTTTCCTACTGCTTTCCAGAATAATGTAGCGCTCTTGGCACTTTATTATCTGCTCTTGTTGGCCTTTATTTCTATTTTATAATCTAATGATCAAGCAGCTGGTAACTGTGTAGATATACATGATTTGACCTTTGTTTCTCTTTTCTAATTATATATCAGTACAACGAGTAAGGCTTGGTTTGCGTACCGTTATTATTTAAAAATCAAATAAGATAGTTTTTCTCACTCACATGAACAAATGATTACATTTTCTGTACAGTATGAATCCAGTTGTAAGGAAAACCCCATGACCTGCCTCCAAATCTTTGCTCATTCCAACAATGATTCATAAATGAAAGAGAATGCCATTCTCTTGCAATATTATTGACAGATGACTGATAGTTGGCAGAAGATTTAGCAGCAAGGAATGGCAAAGATAAAAACAAAAGACCCATTTGATAAAGAAGTCAACAAGACATACAATGGTAAAGCGTAACTTTGAAAAGATTGATGAAAGTTTGGTTTTAGTGAATAATTTTATCATGCCATGTCCATTTCTCTGCATTTTATCTGCAACATATAGTGTGGTCAAAAACCATCCCCCATCCCCTCTTTTTTCAAAGTATCATAATAATTTGATAGAATTTTAGTCAGACAAATGATTGAAAATGGTGTATGTGTGGGTTATAGTTATTTTTTTATTCTCTAGTACCCTATTAATAAATTAATTATTATAAGATTTAAAATGAAGTTGGAGTGGTTAGCAAGTATACTAAAGTTTATTGGAATCAAAATTTATGAAATAAGTATTAGTTAGAGCTAGACATTCTTGGTTTGATCATGTTTCTTTTAATTCCCACCATCAACTTACATAATGCTGCTTTTGACTCTAATTACAATAATGTAAGCAATAATTTCTGCAGATATAAATATGTTAAACTTTACTGATATTATACATTTGATAATGTCCAAACTCCTATCAATTTCAAGCCTATCATTTAGTTTTGGACTGCAATCTTTAGACGACATTTTATAGAAGGAAACAGGGTTAGTCATAACCATAGCTAGGCAGAGATCCGAAAATAAGCTTCCTTGGAATATGTTTCTGGTATCCATGAACAAGAACATGGGGTTGCTCAGTTACCAGTTTTTGTCCTCTCTTGAGAGTGAAACCTAATTGAAAACTACAGTTGAAGTCAATTAAAACAGTTCCACATGTCTTGCCCTAGTATTGTTGCAGTAGTTTTCAAGTACTTAGCCATCATGCGCCAATTTGCCAATCTGAAATCGACCTTTACTTGAACCTCATTGCTGAGGTCTAGAATCTAGATAGTGATAAATTCAATGTTAGAAGATTGGAAACGCAATCACAAAAGATCAATAAACAATAAAAACCAGAGAAATAAAGTCTTAGCTAGAATATTCATTTGAAGGTAAAAGGAAAATATCAAGAATCCAATGTTTAGTTAAATTGATTCATATAATATAATCACTCGTAAGAGGTGATATTCTACAGGTCGAGACTTAATCTCTTCCCCTACCCCATTTGCGAAGTGATATCTGCAGGTTGAGATTTAATTTCTTCTTGGACTTCGTTTGAAGAAGAAGAAAAAGAAAAAGGAACTAGCGTGTTACATCAAGAAACACAGGCCTTTTTTTTTTTTGCGTGCCAAGCCAGTATTAATCCACATAGGTTGAAAAGTACCTATCAAAGCTACTTGAGAACTTTGAACACTCTTCTTGAGGATTTTCAATCTTCATCAGTTAAGCGCAAGATAATTTAGATTATCTTATGTTTTGCTTTTCCACTATTATTCTCTTTCAACTTTCATATCATTTAAAGGAGATACACTTACCTGCCCTTATGACTTTGAAAACCCAATTACTGAGGCAACGTTTTCTTGGTTTTAATCCACTTGTTGTCGTCTAGAAGATTATGACAACACATTCACATGGAAAAAAAAAAAAAAACCAAAATGTTTAATACTAACTTGGTTTTCATCAGCTTTTGATTTTGGTGGCATTTATTATAAAAAGACAGTAACATAAAAAAAATTGAACCTAAAATTTCACTTAATTAATTCATACAGTTATCTCTTAATTTAATTATTTCATATAATTATCTTTAATATTTATCAGATATGAAATTTAAATCCTAGCATTTGTATTCTTTATCTCTATCCTCATGTTTCTTCGTTTGTTAAAAAAATTGAGTGATTGGTAGGTCTTATGGATTTTAGATATTCTTAAGATACAGAACTAGATAGAAACCTCATCTCAGCCTGGTTAGTAAGGAAATTTTAAGTGTTTTTATGCCAAACTCTGAACAATCTAGGCCCTCCCCTGTTAGGAAAAGGATTACAGCTGTTTTCGTTAGGTTGCTCCAGGGCTGAAAGGGATCTGCAGAGAGTTTTAGACACAAAGTTATTGCTGCAAATTTTTGGAGTGCCCAATCATGGAAGGACTCGTTGGTAGCCGTAGGGTATTGGAATTCCTACCTATGAGAATCTAAATGGGCCAAACATTTATCCAAATGATTAGGATCTTAAGCAACTAAAGCTCATGCCAGTTGTAAATCATGGGAGAAAAGCTTAGTATAATCATTTTGTAAGAGAAAAAACGCATGACAATAGCAGCATATTGTATATAGTACTGGTATTTTCTTATGAAATTTTCTCGGATTTTTCTTATCATGCATGTGATTCCATCATAAAACACTTGAATTTTGTTTGGTTATTTCTTTTCTTTTTCTAAAATAAAGGGTCAATTGGATCTTTCATGCCAATGTTGCGCTTATCCTTTTGAGGCATTATTCTTCACACAGATATCAATGAATTCCCTAAAATGTTAGTACGTCAGAATGTATTTGTGTACTTAGTGTAATCAATCCCTCTATTCTCTATTAGTTGATAGCATTGCCATCAAAGAAAGGACAATTTGTCCAAATCACATGATATATATTATCCCAATTTGTCCAAATCATTTTCACAGTGAT